GGGGTGGGGGGAGGGAAGACAGGCGATGTGTGTTGTTGGTGGTTATGGAAGACCGACAAGGGGGGGGGAGAAGACGGTGATGGAAGGGGGAAGAAGGGAGGGCATAGTTGGAAAAATCAACATCTGAATGGTTTAGTGGGGTATAGGATGCAAAATGGTTAAGAGCCAATTGTCACCATTAAGAGGTTCTATTTTTTTTGCCAAACAGCCTCCGCCTTTTACCGATTAAGAGGCTGCCTCTTAATGTCACCATTAAGAGGCAAACAAACAGCCCCTTACATTGCAGCGGAAATAAAATTTCTAATCTTACAATTTATATCATCATCTAAAATTACAAATTTGAGGAACATAACTTTGCTCTATATAACAATGCCTTGATTTGCACATGTTCTTCTTTGATATTAATGTAACGCCCCCAGAACCCCGTAGCAATGATATTGTCCGCTTTGACTAACCTGCCCGCTCAACCACAAAGCAGTAGCCGCACGGTTTTGTTTTTGGCAGCCGCACAACGCAAGCCCCAAAACGCGTCATGCTAGGCTAAGGTATCCACACCCTTATAAGGAGTGCTTTGTTCACCTCACCAACCGATGTGGGACGGGATGTTACAATTAATCCTTATATCTCTCTTTATCCAACTTTTCTTTCCAGTCTAATAGCCATCTGAGTGAAAAAGTTTTAAAAGAGTTTTGGGTGAGCTCTAGGTCCAGTGAATCTACGGTTTTCATGCATGAACAATAACTTTTACGATAAACAATTTTACGAAGCTTCATAAAATAGCATGTCTTGATGAGAATAATATTTTTCACAAAATAAAGATATTATAGTGCGTGTGTACATCACAAAGCAACGATGTCATGGGAGATGTCTACCTCACACAGCATTATCTGGCGAACTCACACAGTATGTCCGCACTTACGTTTTAGACAAGCTCATAAAACATGTCCGTCTTTACAAAATCATATCGTAGTACATCCTCATTGACACACAAGTACTCAAAACACATATTATAAAAATATCGAACTTTTCATGCATATATAGCATATCAAAAATCTCGAGAAACTTCAAACCACTTTTGGA